CCCCCTGGTGCTCTGGGGTTGCACTGCGCTGGGCGCAACTACGAGTGCGCCGGGCGCGGAGATAAGAAATTATTATGTACTGATTTATGTTGTTTTATGCTGAGTTGAGTTGAAATGGATGAATATAATGTGATGACTAGTAGATGATGTTGCAAGTTGATATGTTGAGTTGTATTCCAAGCTGATATGTTGAGTTGTATAGTTGTGTTGTGTTGCAAGTTGATGTTGAGTTGTACAGTTGTGTTGTGTTGCAAGTTGATATGTTGAGTTGCAAAAGTTGTGTTGTGTTGAATGTTGATATGAATTGTTGTAGGCCATAAGGCCTGAGTTGTTGTAGGCCATAATGGCTGAGTTGTTGTAGGCCATAATGGCTGAGTTGCTGTAGGAGATCTCCGAGTTGATATGCGTGACGACGCATTGTGTGCTTATTGCTGATTATGCTGTAAAATCGATGAGTTGTATGTTGAAGATGTTAGATGTGTGCTGTTATGGCTAAATGTTGTGGTATTTTAAATGAATTTTGTTAAGCTGATTGATGTGTTGATTTGCTGTGCTGATAGGGGTAGCTGTTTACTATTCATATATTTATATGTATGTATGTTATTTCTTTTCACTAGCTTACCCTTTGTTGTTTCCATGTGGTTTGGACTGCGATGATCATACTATGTATGGGAGCAGAGCAGGGTTAGGTGGGTGGCTAGTGGTGAGTCTGCATCTGGCAGGCGGAGCTGGATCCTTGTTGATGCTTTGTTGTTTTCAGCTACTTGGTGTAGCCGTTGATAATGTATTTTGATTTTGTACACTCTAACTCTAGTTGGATAGGGACTTTGTATATATTTATATTCTAGATCCTATATTTATATACTTGTCCTTTCTGTCTGGCGTTTCCGGTGTACAATGGTGTGTGTAGTGACCAGCCGGGTCGTTACACTTTAGTGGTATCAGAGCAGTTCGAGTCTAGTGGACACTCTTTGGGGGTGGTTCCTTTAGGATTTTGTTGTGCTGAGCTCTGTGTTGTGTTGTCTTGCTGTGTTGTCTTGTTGTGTTATTTGTTGTGCTGATTGCTGTGTTGTTTTGTTGTGTTGTTGATGGTTGTTTGGTTTAGTTATTGTGTACTAAAGATGTTGTTACTTCTGTAGACAATGACTATAACCAATGAGCTGATAGCCCGTGCCATAGAGATGATGGCTATGGCTATGCAGTAGCAAAATGCTTATTTTGCTAGGATGGACGCTGATAGAGTTGCAACTAGTGCAGCAAGGCCCGTGGGATCGCAGGAGAATCGGGATCTAGCTGAGTTCCAGAAATGCCATCCTCCACAGTTCAAGGGAGATACAGACCCAGAGGTAGCTGACCACTGGATCTGTGAGCTGGAGAAGATCTTCACTGTGTTGGGATATTCTCAGGAGAGGAGGCTGGCATATGTTGTCTATATGCTGGTTGGGGAGGCTGAGCATTGGTGGAGGGGTTCAAGGTGAACTTGATCTGTTTACCTTGGGTGGATATTGACATAGTCTTAGGGATGGATTGGTTGTCTGCCAGTCGCATCCTTAAAGATTGTGCCAGTAGGCGGTTGATCTTTCCTCAGGTGGAGGAGGAGCTATTGATTTCAGCTGGTCAAGCTGAATCATTATTGAGGGATGGAGCAGAGTGTTGTCTTCTTCTTGCTGCTATGAGTGTGGAGACCGAGAGGGTCATTGTTGAGATTGATGTGGTGAGAGATTTTGCTGAGGTGTTCCCTGATGAGGTGCCTAGATTGCCTCCTGTTAGGGAGATTGAGTTTAGCATTGACTTGGTTCCAGGTGCGGAGCCAGTGTTGGTGGCTCCCTATGGGATGGCTCCTGCTGAGCTGGTTGAGCTGAAAGGTCAGTTGGAGGACCTGTTAGAGAAGCAGTTGGTGTGACCGAATGTATCGCTGTGGGGTGCTTCCGTGTTGTTGGTGAAGAAGGAAGTTGGAGGTAGTCGATTGTGTGTTGATTTCTGGCAGTGGAGCAAGTTGACCATTAAGAATAAATATTCACTTCTCTGGATAGATGACTTGATGGATCAAATGAGGGGAGCATCCGTTTTCTCGAAGATTGACTTAAGGTCAGGATATCACCAGAAAAGGGCGAAGGAGGGTGACATACCGAAGACTGCTTTCAGGACTAGGTATGGTCACTACGAGTATGTTGTGATGCTGTTTGGCGTGACCAATGCCCCTGCTGTGTTCATGGATTTCATGAACAGGATCTTTCGGTCGTTCTTGGATAAATTCGTTGTGGTGTTCATTGATGATATCTTGATTTATTCAAGGACCCCGGAGGAGCATGGAGAGCACTTGAGGTTAGTGTGTTGTATACTACCTAGCTGTGCTGGATGCTGATATTGATGTGTTGCGCTGAGCGCGGCCCCTGTCACACTGGGCGTGAGGCTCCTTGGGAGTCTCTGCCTGGTGGGCGCTGGGAGAGGGGATTGCTGTTGATCTGGCTAAGGTGGAGTCAGTGTTGCAGTGGGGACGTCTAAGGACTGTCACGGATATTCAGAGATTTGTGGGTTTAGTGGGTTACTATCGAAGGTACATTGAGGAATTCTCCATGATAGTAGCGCCTCTAACCCAGTTGACAAGGAAGGAGCAGCCGTTCATTTGGACAGGTGCCTGTGAGCGGAGTTTGATGAGGTGAAAAGGAGGTTGACTTCTTCTCCTGTGCTGGTGTTGCCGGATTCTGGTGAACCTTTTGATGTGTACTGCGATGCTTCTCACCAGGGTATGGGGTGCGTGCTGATGCAAAACAGGAAAGTAGTGTTGTAGGCCAAAAGGCTGAGTTGCTGTAGGCCATAATGGCTGAGTTGTTGTAGGCCATAATGGCTGAGTTGGTGTAGGAGATCTCCGAGTTGATATGCGTGACAACGCATTGTGTGCTTATTGCTGATTACGCTGTAAAATCGATGAGTTGTATGTTGAAGATGTGAGATGTGTGCTGTTATGGCTAAATGTTGTGGTATTTTAAATGAATTTTGTTAAGCTGATTGATGTGTTGATTTGTTGTGCTGATAGGGGTAGCTGTTTACTATTCATATATTTATATATATGTATGTTATTTCTTTTCACTAGCTTACCCTTTGTTGTTTCCACGTGGTTTGGACTGCGATGATCATACTATGTATGGAAGCAGAGCAGGGTTAGGTAGGTGGCTAGTGGTGAGTCTGCATCTGGCAGGCGGAGCTGGATCCTTGTTGATGCTTTGTTGTTTTCAGCTACTTGGTGTAGCCGTTGATAATGTATTTTGTTTTTGTACACTCTAACTCTAGTCGGATAGGGACTTTGTATATATTTATATTCTAGATCCTATATTTATATACTTGTCCTTTCTGTTTGGCATTTCCGGTGTATAGTGGTGTGTGTAGCGACCAGCCGGGTCGTTACACAACACATTTAACGATATAATTTTGTGGCTAAGTTCGTCTAGAAGTGATGTGTGGAAGAGACTTGATAGGTTTGTTTATAGTACACAAGAATGAAGAATCACTAGCCAAAACTTGTGTTTTTTTGTTGGATGAAGCCAAAATTTTCGAAGCCAAAAGCCACTAACCTTAAATGATGAAAAAGTGATGGAAGAGCATGGGCTAAAGGCCCAACCACTAGAGCCATGGCCAGGAGGTTACTTGAAGATTTGACTGCTTCAGAGCTTAGTTGGCCCAATGGGCTTGGTGGGCCTAGGGTGCTTCTCACTTGGGCTTTGATTGATTAAACACCATGATTAATTGTATTTTCTTAGTATAGGAATTTACTTTGATGTTGGTCTTGTATTTTGACCATAGATTAGGGTTTAGGTGTCTTGGGCTTAATTTTGGGCTTCTTGAGCTTTGGGCTTTTGATACCCAATATTGGGCTCATTCTTCTTCTTATATTTTTTCCTATTCATTGTATTCATTGGACCAATGTATTTCGGTCAATAGCATAGGATTATTTGAAGTATACATTAATAGGAGAAATAGGTTTCATTTAAGTATTATTTAGAAGTAATTTGAATTGAATTTGAGTCACATGGATGGCATGGGGTGGATCCGGCCATGTGAGCTTCAAATTCACTCCAAATCACTCCTAAATGACACCTAAATGAAGGTAGCAACCGGTTTAAGCTTGTAGGAAGCCAAAGTTTGAATTTCAAATTCAAATTTGAAATTCAAACTTAGGCGCCAACTTTGCTAGCCTAAGTTGCCGCCAACTTTAACCTAGTCTCTCTCTTATATATGTAACACTTCCCTCTTTTGTAAGACACTTTTGAATATATGATAATCTGAATTCACTTCAGCCATTTCGAAAGTCACCGAAATCCCCAAGAGAGAGCTATAGAGAGTGCCTTCATAGTTTCTTAGGAAAACTCTAGTTTCCTTCACTTTGAAGTGTGCAATCCCTTGAGGCTTGAGCTTGGATGCTTCCTTCAAGGTCTTGACCTTGTCTTCAGCTGGAGAACTTCGTTCAAGGAGTTCAACAACTTAGTTCCATCTCCATTGAAGAGGATCCGTGCCTAGGAGGAGCTTAGGAGGAGCTTGTTCATCACTTCTCCTACTCTTTCTATCAAAAAGTATTTAATATTTGTTTATATTTAATATATATATATATATATATATATATATATTATTTACTTATAATAAAGAATAAAAGAAATACGCCTAACACATTAAACGCAGCTAATAAATAAATACAACACATTTAATAATATAATTTGTTGACTAAGTTTGTCTAAATGTGATGTATCAAGAAATTTAATAGACTTGTTTCTAGATAAAACTCAAGTATTGTTCTTTAAATGTATTTAGTATTATTTTCTATCAAATTGAAATTTTATTTTGATAATATACCTAAATGTATAGTAATGAGATAATATATTAACCAAAAATAAAACTTCAATTCTAAAAAACTATAGCTAAGTTTTGTAAGTATTCACATAAAGATTTTGAGCAAACGTGATTTTATTACCTCACAACCACGCGGCAGATTGTTAGGTGACTCTGACCAGCATGGCATTTAATGAGAGCACCGCGCAATGAAAGCTCTTCCTCGCATATGGGGTAACTTAGCGTTGAGGAAAATAAAGATAAAGAAAATAGTCAATAGAATCGTAGTGGTAGACCAAAATAGCTCAATTGCCATGGACATTGTAGAAGAGAACGTAAGAGAGTTGAGGCAATACTTCAAAACTGGAAAAACCAAAAGTGTGACATGGAGGAAAAACCAGCTCACAGCTCTTCTAGACCTTGTTCATGAGAATGAAGAAGCTATATTTAAGGCCCTCCACCAAGATCTTGGAAAGCACCCTGTTGAGGCTTATCGTGATGAGGTTAATTATCACCCAAGTTTATTATCCCAAAACAAACATAGTTACAACTTGGTTTACTTTGCTTATATACACTTTCTTCCATATAACTTGCTTATGTATTTTTCTTTAATTTTTACCCTTTTAATTATTTTGCTGGATCCTTGACTGCTAGTTGCTTTTGTGTAGATTGGAGGGGTTGAAAAATCAGCCAACAACTCTTTGAGCTGCGTTGAGAAATGGATGGCCCCTAAAAAGGCAGATTATTCTATTTTCTTTTTGTTACTAATTTTTCTCCTTTCATTTGAACTATTTTTCATGTATTTTGTGCTTAATATGACAATAACATGTAATCTTAACGTTACTCTTATCATCAAAAGCTCAAAATCTGAATTGTATGGCATTAAGACATTGGAGTTTTTTATGCAAACTTGATCCAGAAGTAAATATATTGTTATGAGCCTTATATATGTATATTTTTTAAGTGGTTGATTATGTTCCATTACTCTATTAATGCATTCGGATCCTTATATATCGTATCATTGACCAATGTTTGTGTTCTATTCACTGCTTTTCAGCTGCATCTTTCCCAATTTTCTGGTTGACTTTTGACATCTGATAACTTTTTTTTTTTTTTTTTTTTTTGCGTTGGGGTTATTATTACAGAGTAATATTCCTATGCTTTTCTTCCCAGCTAAAGGAGAAGTGTTGTCAGAACCACTTGGTGTGGTTCTCATATTTTCTTCTTGGAACTTCCCAATCAGTGAGTCTGGAATTTTCCTATTCAACCCTTATTATATATTCTTGTTAGTTGTTGCTGCTAAGTTTCAGAATTATTCTTGAATCAGTGTATATACACTTCATATAAAGATGATATGTTTGCTAGAGACCTTTTCATATATACATCTCTTAATTTTTAAAACAAAATCTTGAGAAATACTACCTATGCTCTTTTTACAAGAAAATAAGTGATAGTGTATTTTTTACTATCACTTGTTTGTTATATAAAGAGCTGGGGATAATAATATTTTAGGAGTAGTAATATTTTAGTATTTAGACAGTATTTAAGGGAATATTACAAAACTATGTAAACCATTCTACGTTTAAGGAATTATCAATGATCAAAGATTAAGGTATTATCCCCCTCATAAGAATTCTCTGTAACACCTGGAGCAAGCTGAATATAAGTTCAGCTATGCTTTAATTAATGTCATACTTTGGTGTTTTAACTTTTAAACTTAACATAATTATGTTAACAAATTTACTGTATGCAGTGCTGGCATTGGATCCATTAATTGGAGCAATATCTGCTGGAAATGTTGTAGTCATAAAACCTTCAGAGCAAGCTCCAGCATGCTCTTCTTTTCTTGCTAATACCATTCCTCGGTACTTGGACTCTAATGCCATCAAGGTGATTGAGGGAGGAGCAGATGTCTGTCAACAACTGCTACTACAAAAATGGGACAAAATATTCTTCACTGGTATTATTTTCCATACCAAGCAACTTCTATCACTAAATTGTGGTATATTCATATATTTAATGTGTATATCAAATTTAATAGGTGTATAGGGGAACATTTGCATACTTGATCTTGAATGAATTTTGATTTGGGATAAAGTGATACTTCCAATAGATCTATTTAAAGATAAAGTGGTACCTTCAATTATGATTTTATACTTAAACCGGATATCAAACTCTATTTAGTTAAAAAATACAAGTATCCAACTATTTGTGCTAACAATTTTTATTTTTTAAAGTGATTTTTAATTAAGTCATTTATCTTTGGAAATCTTTATCTCCAAAGTAAGTTTTCTTTAAAACTTAGCTTGAAAGTTTAAATTTTCAACCCAACCCAACACCAAAGTGGTTTTTGTAGTGCTTGGACCTGCATTTGAGGCATTCAAACCAAATCCAAACATAGTATTAATTCGATTGACTGAACACTCTTTTCCTTTAGCTTGGTGGTTTCCTATAATCTCATGTAAGAATAAAATAAAATCCTAATAGAATTATTTCCCTATAAATCAAATACAAACTAAATTCTGGTTCAAGAATTATTTCCCAGTGGCGTATGGAATTTTCAGGAAGTCCACATGTAGCAAGCATAGTCATGTCTGCTGCTGCAAAGAATTTAACTCCTGTTACTCTGGAGTTGGGTGGAAAATGCCCTGCCATACTTGGTTCCCTTCCCAATCCTTCAGATTTTAAGGTACTTGTTCAAACATGAGTTATTAACACTATGCTTGCCACATTCAATTTCAAGGTCTAATTCAGTATGCTTTTCTTTGAAAATTTGTGAACATCAAGTTGGCAGTGAAGAGAATTGTAGGAGGAAAGTGGGGACCTTGCAGTGGACAGGCTTGCATAGGAATAGACTATTTGCTTGTTGAGGAGAAATTCTCATCTGCTCTGGTATTCATTACAATCACCAGCTTCTATTTATTCTAAACTTTTATTTCTAATAAATAGTTGTTGTTTTTTTGTTTTTTTTTCTAGATAGAACTATTAAAGAAGATAATCAGAAGATTTTATGGAGAAAACCCAGGAGTCAATGGTAATTTCGAGAATAATAAACAAACATCACTTTAAGAGATTATGCAATCTTCTCAAAGACCCTCTTGTTGCTTCTTCCATCGTTCATGGTGGTTCAGTTGATGAAGAAAAGTTGTAAGTTCTGCTTGCTCAAAATAGTTGTCTATTGAGATAAATTTCTCCAAACGTAACGATAAAACAAAAATTAAATTATTTGCTTTAGTAAAAAACATCTTTTTAAAGATATTAATATGGTAGAATTTCTATTAATTAATCTATATATAAACTAATTTTAATTTATTAAGAAGCTAATTTCATCTCTTTTTTTTCTTATTTTTTTCCTACAAGTAGAATTTATACCAAACATGCTTTAGAAGTGGATGGTTAGCTTGATTTGTTTAACTTAAAAATTTCTTACAACTTTTGTAGGTTCATTGAACCTACAATATTGTTAGATCCTCCTCTAGATTCTCAGATAATGACAGAAGAAATATTTGGCCCACTGCTTCCTATAATCACAGTGAGAATCAACAATCCCCTTTTATGTTCTCAATTCTCACATACATTGTGTCATTGTCTTCTTCAACTCTTAAACTTGGTATCTGTGCAGATTGATAAAATTCAGGGAAGTATTGAATTTATCAATGCAAGGCCAAAACCTCTTGCAATTTATGCCTTCACTAAAGATGAAACTTTCAAGAGACAGATTATATCAGAAACATCCTCAGGAAGTGTCTTATTTAATGACACAATGGTTCAAGTACTGCTTTTATCTTCGTCGACTTAATTTACCCTTTTACCAAGAAAATTATTAATGTAAAGAAATCTAGTAATACTTTCGTTCTATGTGCAGTTTTTATGTGATACGCTACCATTTGGAGGTGTTGGCCAGAGTGGTTTTGGGAGGTACCATGGGAAGTACTCCTTTGACACTTTTAGCCATGAAAAAGCTATAATGCATAGAAACCTGCTACTTGAAATTGAACCAAGGTACCCTCCTTGGAGTAAGTTCAAGCTAGAGTTTATCAGATTGGCATACAAGCTGAACTACTTTGGATTATTATTGCACATGCTGGGCTTCAAACTGGGTTTGATAAAACACACCTAGATCACTACCTCAGCACAGTGTTCATCTATTCCTCAAATACATGATTCAAAACGCATTAAGCTTTATTGTACCTGAAGATGAGTTGAGGAAAATTTGGTATAAGGGTCCTTGCAGAAGTCACACATGTAGTGAACACCAACTTGGCATTGTAATAAGTGAACCTCTGTATTTCTTATTTTTCTTGCTAGTAATCGGATGTTTCTACTTCTATTGTTTAACAGTCCAAATATGTCAAACATTTTTAATTAGTAATTAATCAAATAGCATTAATAACTTGCGGGATAAGGATGCAAATTACTAGCAATGAATAGTATGGAGAAAAAAATTGCAAAAATCTAGAAGGCTAAGCACTTCCTCTCGCACATATTCAAAATTCTTCCTCACTTCCTCCTTACTAGCCAGAGCTAAGGAGCACGTGACTCTCACAAGTCTTCAAGTTGGACACCGGAGGGTAGACATTCTCCTAGTCAATATATATCTCTCTACAAAATACAAACATAAAAACACCAATTATTTGAAGAGCCAAGGTTTTTACATACATGTAGAGATGAAAGACGAAAGTTAAGTAGATTTTTCACAAATTTTTCTTCCCTTTTTTGATAGAAAAAACTATGATCTTTAGATAATGAGAATGAAATCATAACTATAAACTTTAAACATTTAAGTAGTAATAGAAAAAGATTACGATTGTAGACACCCAATTTCGTTCAGGGACATATAAACAAGGACAGGGACCTCTGTTATAAAGGGAAGGAGCTCCCGAAGCATGCCAACAACAGGACAGGACTTTAGAAGGCCCAAAAACCCAAACAAGCTAATTTTAGAAGACTGGAATGGGCTGTTTCAAACCGGAACGGACGGTTCCAAATTTGGAACGGGCCGTTTCAAGTTCCTAAAAGGGCCAAAAAAACCTTAGTTTGGAACGGGTCGTTCCAAGATTGGAACATGCCGTTCCAAACTCCTCAAAAAGGGGCTAAAACTTTAACTGGAACGGCCCGTTCCTAAACTGGAACGGGCCGTTCCAAGTTATAAAAAGAGCCTAAACATCCTTGTTTGGAACGCCGTTCCAGTATACCAAATGACGTGTTAATCTTATCTCTAGAACGGGCCGTTCCAATTTCAGAACGGGTCATTCCAGTTACAAAAACGGAACGGTCAGATCCAGAACGAGCCGTTCCGATTTTGGAACGGGCCATTCTGGACACTTTCTGAAGTCTATATATAGACAGCTTGGGCACAGTTCTCCGGACTCCAAAATTTCGTTCAGACTCCTTAGAGCTCGAAATTTCTCTCTTTTTCTCTCTCCCTCTCTCTTTTGTATTTCTTGAGATTTTGTGAGGCATTATACTGTGAAAGGTTGCCACAAAGCACTAAAATCTTCAAAAAATCTTCCTGTTTTGAAGATTTAATAGAGTCATTCAAGAGGTACTTTAGTTAATTTCTTTCTCTTTTCTATTTATTTCTTCTCTATAATAAATATTATTATAATAAAAATAATCATGTAGACATTTTAGGGTTAATTGTATAATTTAAATTTCAAGCATGTAAATAATTATTAATAAAAGGAGACTTAATATTTATATTATTATCATTTAAAATGATAACTTCACCATAGGGTACCAATTAAGGGCGTTGTAGGGGTGCTTAATACCTCCCCTACACGTAACCAACCCTTGAATCCAATTCTGGTTATCAAGGCCATTATTAGATTTTTTTTAAAAACCTTTTCTTTTTCCAATGTTTCCAATGTTTTGAGTAAAGCATTGGTGGTGTCTCCATGAACTCATTTTTCAAAACCATTAATTAAGGATTAGTCTGGTGTCCGGGCATTCCTTAATTGATGAGAATTTTAAAAGGATGTCTAAACCATTAGTCGCGAGATCGGAAAAATTCGGGTTGCGACAACGATGTGCTTGTGTTACTAGATAATCCAACCATAGTCTAGATAAAAATTCACAAAGAAAAAAAAATAAAGAAGTCAAATGCAAAGATTTTCCTATTTGCTAGTGTTTCACAAATTATTTTCACCGGAATTATGACTTTCAAAATGGAAAAAGTGATGTGGGACTACATAAAATAAAATATGTAAGAGATGAAAGAATTTGAAAAATGCAAGTGATAAATTTAATGAGGGATTTGAAATAAAGAGAATAAAAAAGTTCAAATCAATAAAATGATATCCAGACATATTGTTTGACTTTACTTAATAAAGTACGAGTACTAGACACATAATTTTTCGATTCAATAACTATTGAAAATTTTTTAATGAATAGACAGAAACGTGTGCAATGCATAGATGAAAAAAATATAAACTATAAGTTATATTGTTTTATTAGTTTAATTTTAAATATATTTTTTTAATCATGTAACACAAATTTATTATAATTAGAGGTGAAAGATTTAGTATAATACATATAAAATTCTAAGTTCAAAATCTAGTACAAATTTATTATTGTAAAGTTTATGGTATTTATGTTTATATAATATTTATAGCAATAATCTATCATTTAATCTCTTTATCTCTCACACACAGATATATTTTGTTAATAATATTAAAAGTTTTATATATTTCGATAAAGTATTTTGATTGTAAATTTTTGTTTAAACATATTTTTTTATTAAATATTAAAATATATAAATGAGCAAAAAGTTTATAATGTGGGAGCAAATTATATTTTCAACTATTCTAACCTAACATTCTTTGTTTCAATGTCCATATTTTTTAAAAAAAATTATCTCTTAGCATCTTATTCCTTAATAATATTTGAATAAATAAATTAAAATCTAAACCAAGATATTTAATACTTGTTTAATTTGTATTGTCTTTATAGTAGCTAAGATCAACTTTGTATAAATAAAATCACATGTTAATTAGATTAAAGTTATTGCAATCAAACACAACTAAAAGGAATATGGTTCATGAGAAAATATAAAAATTTATAGAAATAAGTTTTTGTGTATCTATTAATAACTCATTTTTAGAATGAAGTAAAAAGTTTAATAATATATATATATATACAAAATTAAAATTGAATAGCATAAATAAATATGTATTTAAAATAACAATTATGATTGTGTTGGATATGGAAGATTTATTAATTGTAAAGTGAAAATACAAGCATAAATGAAATAAAATTATGTGTCATTCTTATATTTTTTGTTTTGTCACTTTCTGATAGACTAATTTTTGTATATCCTTTCTATGCATTATTTTTTATTTATTTAACTTTTATTAGTATCATATTGTGATATATTAATTTTTTTGATATATTAGTTTTGATTTATTCTAGTGAATCATTTTGGTTTTAGTTGTAAATTTTAGTTAATTTTTGAAATTTTTTCTTATTTTGACATTTTTTCTTGTGCAGGTTATATCTAGAGTTCCCAACATCAGATTCGGATGTTCTTGGTGTCCCTGGAAAGATAAGAGAGAGTTATACAACTTCTCTATTGAGAGAAAAGGCCATTTTGAACGTTAAGAGACCCAAAATTGTGTTGCAAAGTTGCAATTCTGCATAGTATTTTCTTTTCCCTTTTAAATTGTAATGTTAGGAATTGTTTAGTGATGTAATTAGTTGATTTAGTAGGTTGGACCTTTAGTTACTTAGATTAGGCTCATTAGTATAGTTTATAAATACATGTAACATATGTACATTTGACATCATATTCTTATTTTTCAGAAATTAAGTTTTTTCTCTTAAAAGTTTCTCAAAATTCTCTCTTTCTCTCTCTAATTTTCTCTTGCTTAAATGGATTGGATTGTTGCAACGTGATTATGATGCATTACTAGTTCGTTAATTGATTCGAGGTTTCAAGAACCATGGTAAAATTTTAGTCGCTGATCTTTTTACCAAACGAACTCTCTGTTTCTCTTCTCATCTATTTTAGGTTTAATTTCATTTTTTTATGATTATGAATTTTGTTTTGGATCTAGAATAGAAATTAAAGATTAATTTTATACCTAAATTTAGATTTAGATGTAGACCTGAAATAACATAAATCGTTTAATTCAACGATTCACCGTTCTTGAATTTTATTAAAATTGTGAGATTACAATTACATTTCATGTTTTGATCGGATTCATAGATTTAGATCTAGATTTACGTTTTTTTATTACATTCATGTTGAATTAGGTTGATTGAGAATTCATATTTCTTGTTGAACTATGAAAATTTTACCGTATGGATTGAAAGCTTGAATTGAAAATTATTTATTCGTAGTGTAAAAAAACTGATTATCTATACATTGCAAATTGCATTTGTATATATATTGTATGATATCGTATTTTAGTAACTACATATACATACAAAAAATAGTATAACTCTATTAAAAAATTGCTTTATTATTTCACTTAAATATTATATTATTATTATATATCTCATAATGAAATCAAAAATTAAAAAGAAATGGATAAGAAGAGGAAATAATATCATACAAGTTAAATTCTTAAAAAGACTAAAATACCATATTATAATTTTATTAAATGAGATATAGTTCAGAGTTACTGTATTATTTTGTAATATATAAATAATAACTAAAATGAAATCTTTTATAATTTAATTTAAATTATTATTTTTTATTTTCATTCATTAATTTTCATTCTTAAAGAGGGGATTTAATTTTTAGGTTTAATTTGACGGAAAATAAATTGCTTAATGATTGTTTATAATTAATATTAATATTAACTATTACAATATTTATCATTTTCCTGAAATTAATAATTTAGTCAAACTCAATCTCTTAATTGATAACATTATTAATTAATTAATTAATACATACTAATTAAATGTAAGTTCAAATTTTTACATACTCTATACGATTATTATTGTGCCATTTTTGTTAATAATTAATATCAGTTACTATACTATTTATTGTTTGTTTGTAACCAAGAATTTGATAAATTTAATTTCTTAAAAAAAAATATCATCAATTTATATATCAATACTAATATTAATTAAATGTAGTTATAATTTATCAAACATTAAATGACCAAGAAATTTTTTTCTTACAATTAATAGTAATTCTATAACATTTAATTATTTTCATTTTTATAACTAATATTTGAATCAAATTTAGTCTCTTAATAACTAATTAATATAATTGTTAATATATGTAAATAAGTACTAATTAAATAGTAACTACATATATAATTTACCACAATTATTAGTTACTTAATACATGCAATTTGTAACAACACTATACAATTTAATATTAAATGAC